TTCCACACGCCCGATAAGGTGGACCTGTTGATCGGCGCAGAGCTGTTTTTTGATATACTGAAGCCAAGCCAACTCAACCTGGCGGACAACCTGCCACAGTTGCGAGACACTCACCTTGGGTGGATCGTATCTGGTGTCATCGTCGAGCCACAGATTTCCAACGTATCAGTTCAGCATGCCAGCCACGTTTCTCTTGAAGACATCGAGCGAAAGATGTACAAGTTCTGGCAAATCGAGGAAGTGCCGGACGTACCCAAGTTATCAACCGAGGAGATGGCATGCGAAGCACACTTTCTGTCCACATACCAGCGTGACGAGTCCGGAAGATTTATCGTGAGCTTGCCGTTCAACGAAAATTCTTCGCAGCTGGACGATTGCCGTGCTTTAGCTCTGAAGAGGTTCCTGATGCTGGAGAAACGACTGATGAACAATCCCGAACTACAAGCGCAGTACGTAGAGTTCGTTCGAGAGTACGAGGTTCTCGAACATTGCCGTGAAATCAATGAAGCTGATGATCCTCCCAACCAGCAGAGGTATTATCTTCCACATCACGCTGTACTGCGTCCGTCCAGCTCGAGCACAAAATGTCGTGTCGTGTTCGATGCAAGTGCCAAGTCGTCATCCGAAAAGCTGTCTTTAAACGAAGTCCTGCAAGTCGGTCCTATGGTGCAGAATGATCTGCATTTCATCGTCCTACGCTTCCGAAAGTTCAAGATCGCCTTTTCTGGAGACGTTGCCAAGATGTACCGGCAGGTACTGCAAGCACTACAAGATCGACGTTTCCTCAGAATCTTCTGGAGACCACACCCGTCGCAGAAGCTACGGGTTCTGGAACTGTGTACTGTTACCTACGGTACAGCATCCGCTCCATACCTCGCAACAAGGTGCCTGGTACAGCTCGTCGAGGAAGAAGGTGAGTTTTTTCCTATCGCCTCTCGCATTGTAAAGGAGGAGACGTACATGGACGATGTACTGTCCGGCGCAGACTCGGTGGAAGATGCAATCGAAGCTCAACAACAATTGAAGCATCTCCTAGGACGTGGTGGTTTTCCGATACATAAATGGTGCTCGAACTCCAAAGAATTTCTCGAGCGCATTCCCGTGGAAGACCAGGAAAAAAGGGTACCGTTAGAAGAACGTGATGTAAACGAAGCTATCAAGGTCCTTGGCTTGCTCTGGGATCCGAATGCCGATACGCTGTACATTGCAAACCATCCGAAGCTACCGCCGCCATTACAACAACGTGTTACGAAGAGGGTAATGTATTCGGAGATAGCCAAATTCTTCGACCCTCTTGGGCTGGTCTCTCCAGTCATCGTATTGGCAAAACTAATGGCTCAACGGTTGTGGCAGCTCAAGGTCGGATGGGACGATCCGATTGATGAAGACACGGCGCAAAAGTGGCAAGAACTTCAAGCTTCGTTGTCGCATTTGCACAACATCGCCATCCCAAGATGCGTGACATTCCAAGGAGTCGTCGCGTTCGAATTGCACGGGTTCTCCGATGCCTCAACAGTGGCGTACGGGGCCTGCATCTACCTACGAAGCCTGTTCAACGATGGTTCAGCGAAGCTCCGCCTACTGACAAGCAAATCCAAGTTGGCCCCTCTTCACGATCTTTCCATCCCACGAAAAGAACTTTGCGCCGCTCTCCTGCTGACACGATTAGTTCTGAAGGTATTACCTGCCCTGGATATGGAGTTCCGGGAAATTGTACTTTGGTGTGACAGTACGATTGTCCTAGCCTGGATCAAGAAACCGCTCAACCAACTCCTATTTTCGTCCGAAACCGAATCGCTGTAATTCAAGAACACACTGGTGGATTCCGGTGGGAGTACGTTAGATCGCTGCAGAACCCTGCCGACATCGTCTCGCGCGGCCAACTACCTGGAGCCTTGGAGAACAACAACCTTTGGTGGAATGGCCCTGAGTTCCTCCAGAGAGTGAAATACGACATCGATCCACCCGAAGAAGTACCAGATCCGTTGCTGCCAGAGCTGAAACCAGTCATCGTCACCGCAGCTGTGAGTATGGAACCTTTCCCATTTTTCTCCAGATACAGCAGCTTCCGCAAAATCCAACGTGTAATGGGCTACGTCTTGCGATTCGTTGGTAACTGCCGTATGAAGAACCCTGCCGAGCGGAAGACAAACCATCACCTGATGATACCGGAACTGCGACAGGCAACCGAAGCTATAATCCACGTGGTTCAGTTCGTTCATTTGGCGGACGAGATTCAACGAGTTGTTGCCCACGAACCCTGCAAGAAGTTGGCAAACCTGCGTCCTATCTATACCGATGGTCTACTTCGTGTGGGCGGTCGACTCGATCGCTCACAACTACCGTTCGAGAGCCGTCATCCCATCATCTTACCAGACAAGGACCCGGTGGTACGCCTTTTGATTCGACAGATGCACGTCGAACAGCTTCACGTCGGGCAGTCTGGCCTGATGAACGCCATGAGACAACGATATTGGCTTCTGAACGCTCGCTCCACCATCCGGCAAATTACACGTAAGTGTGTGAGATGCTTCCGGATTAATCCAACCAATACCAGCCAACTGATGGGAAACCTGCCAGCATCGAGAGTGGTACCATCGCCCCCATTTGCCGTGACCGGAGTGGACTACGCCGGGCCTTTCCTGATTAAGAAAGGTGTGCGCCGTCCTGCTCTAGTGAAATCATATGTGGCCGTCTTTGTTTGTATGACCACCAAGGCCGTCCACCTAGAAGCGGTTTCCGACTTAAGCACCGATGCCTTTCTGGCGTCCCTGAAGCGATTCCTTGGACGACGAGGAATGATCCAACAGCTGCACTCGGATAATGCAACCAACTTCCGAGGTGCCAACAATGAACTGAACGCCTTGTTCCAACAGTTCCGGGATCAGCAAGCCTTTAACACCATCGAGAAATTCTGCCGCAACCGTGAGATCGAGTGGCATTTCATCCCACCGGACGCACCCGAATTCGGTGGCCTTTGGGAGGCCGCAGTCAAGTCCGCCAAGAGCCATCTAAAGCGTATTGTCGGCAACGTAAAGCTCACGTTCGAGGAGCTATCCACCGTTCTGGTAGAAATCGAAGCTGTGCTAAATTCTCGACCACTTTTCACCATCTCCAACGACCCGGCAGACCCACTGGTGATTACGCCAGCCCACTATCTGATTGGACGCCCTCTCACTGCCATACCCGAGCCATCCTTGGAAGACGTCAAGGCAGCACGTCTAACTAGATGGCAACACCTGCAACTTATGCGCGAACATTTCTGGCGCGCTTGGAGTCGCGACTATCTGAACACCCTACAACCCAGAAAGAAGAATCTTCGAACTACGCCGAACATCCGTGAAAACATGGTTGTTCTGCTCCACGATCGAAACCAACCCCCACTCAACTGGAAGTTGGGTCGCATCATAGCCGTATATCCAGGCGATGACGGTTTGGTCCGAACTGTCGATGTCGTTGCAGGAGGTTCCAGCTACAGACGCCCTATCAACAAGATATCGGTACTGCCTATCGAAGATAACGTACAACCTCCTGGTAATTGTTGAGTTACCTCAACCGGGGGAGTATGTTCCGTCTCCGCCGAAAGTGAACCAACCATCTTGACAATCGCCGCTGACGAACAGCGACAAACAACACTAACCAATCAGCGACGTCCATATCACCATGCGCAGACAGCGCGCTCCTATAAAAGTGGCACCCATTAGGCAAACTGACATTCATTTTCTTTTTGACCGTCCACGAGCAGGCATCAGCAGCAGAAAAAGCAAACCTTTGTAGAGAGATAGAGGAGAGAAATAAAGTAGTTACTAGCGTAGCCGTTCGCCGTTTAAATAATTACCCAGCAAGCATCCCTGGTTCGGAGCAAGCGTTGAACCCCACCCCCAGCTCTTTTCAGAGCACAAAAGAGTTTTGATTTAGATCGACGCTTGCCTCCTCCACCAATCATTGCCGATACAGTCCACTGCCGAAAGGGAAAGTGCCTTCCCAGACCGAACATGGTAGCTAATTATCCATATTTTCATAATACTGGATGAACTCATCAACTTCGTTCTGAAAAAGTTTGGAAAAACAGTCACATAAGAAGCGGTACGAAGCAAACTTAAAACGTGATTTTCTTGACTTACCGATTTCCGCCATGGGACTGACCTGCGAAGTGTGGCGGTATTGGCAGTGTATGTTCTAATGAATATCTTTAGAATAATTTCCCTTCATAGAGTTCTTTTAATAATTCCTCTGATAACAATTTAATATTCTATTTGGAAGTCCTTTGAACATTTCTTTATAACAATCAAAAATTCTTCGCAGAACACAAAAAATCATGGAATTTATCCTAATATTCTCTACGAATTTTTGAAGAATTCACTAAAGCTTCCATCCGTAGTTCTAATTTAAATTCGCTTGAATTCTCCTTGGAATTCCCATGCAATTCGCCTCAGAATTGTCTTAAAATTTTGCTCAGAGTTATCTTGGAGTTCTTTTCCGAATTTTTTTTTTGAAAATTTCGTTGGAATTATCCTAGGAATGCCTTAAAACTCTTATTAGGAACTGAAATTTGCATGATCTTTCTTAAATTTAGGCTGATTTAAAGTTCACAGAGCTTCCCCAAAATATTTAGAGGATCAGGCATCTGCTGAAACAAGGATTGAAACCCCTCCCCCCTCAGTCACGCATTTCCCTACTCTAATATAAACGCCCCAAGAAATAGATGAACGCCAGATTCTACACACAAAAACTAAACTAAACGAAAATGAAAGCAAACGGAACAAATGCACCAACACCAAACAAATGCAATAACAGCACACAAGCGATAACAATGGTTGATAAACGAGCAAAAAAGGTAAGCAGCACCGAATGAGAGAAAAAGAGTGAGAGAGAGAGAGAGAGCGTCACCGGTGCTGCTTGCATCATTCTTTTTTTGTTTTCTGTACATCAAGCTAGTAGTAGTAGCCAGTAGGGGGTCAGGCAGCATAGCAAAGGGCACTTCGGGGGCAACACATTACCTTATTGGTTACACGAGCCTTGGACGAGCCGCGTTCGATTTCGATGCGCAGCGTATTGCGCAGTCCCTGCAGCGTGCGGAACTCGGAGTTGTGCACCCGCGACTGCGGATTCGAGTTGGTTAGATCCAGTATCGAAGGACCTAGGGCTCGTCCAACCTATTGGAATGGGAAGATATATGATTGAGAATTAGAACGCCACCCGCGGAAGAGACTCATAACGTAGGTGGTACCTCTTCAAACACGGCGGGTGTGTACTTGGGCGGTACCGGCGATTGAACTTTGGCAGTGACGGGTTCTTTTCCTCTCGGAGGCAGAATGTTGACGCTCTTGCCGGTATTGTAGTTGCACTCCAGGGTGTAGCTTTTGATCAATCCTGTACATTTGTAGATGGCCACACGGCCAGAACCTTCCTTCGATAGACCGTCTCGTTTTCCCCTAAAACGGAAAACAAAGTTTTCATCAGTCAAACTGTCAACAGACCAAATCCCTTTACAACCACTTACTTGTAATACATATTCCTTTCGCTAAAGTTGCATGCATCATAGTGGAAATGCTGTGAATTCATGCTCATGAGCCGAGGCAGAAGCATGCACTCGACGGCTTCGATCGTGCTGGGCAGATGGTTCCCGTACATGAAGACGCCCTTCTTCGAGGCATGCCCATGTAGATCGATGTATAGGAACATATTGCTTTTCTCCTCGTAGATCACCTTGTCGTTCTTCTCGTCCAACTGTGCCAAATAGTCCAGACTAATGTTGAGGTTCTTCTGACTAGCCGGGTTGAGATACTCGTTCCGATGGGACCTAAAATGGCTAAACATTTGTGGTGTTTGCGGTCGTATTTTACCTTCGCCTCGCTTGTGGTGGAGTGGGTTAGCCTTCTTGACTCCCAAGGAGCCTGGCGCCATTTTTCCCATCGAAGATTGTGTCTGCTGTTGCTGCTGTAGTTGTGGTGATTGTTGCTGGGATTGACTGACTCCAAAGTCCTTTAATTTGAGCATATTCGGGGTAGTCGCTATCAAATGGGGCTTGTTTATCACATTCTTGAAGGAGGAGGAAGTGGAGGACCCCGCCGTCTTCCGTCCGGTGTCTACCTTGGCCGTTACCAGCGGTGGCTTCTTCGTGTTGATGTGCGCGATTGTGCTCGCATTGGTAGTGGTGCTGTTGGCCATACTGCTGGCAGTGCTGAGATTCGACGTGCTACGAATAGGCCGCAGCGTCAGGCCACTCTCGGTGACCACGGGGAGTAAATCCGGAATCAGTTGCTCGGTGAACACTTTCGGCGGTGGAAGCACCTCTTCGGTGGTTGCGATCGAGCCGATTTCACTCGATGGAATGGCATCGACCGTTGGGTTGGTGGCGATGATAGCGGTTGAAGAATCAGCAGTGCTGGAACTGTCGCTGGTCGTTGTCGCGGGAACGGATGGCGTTGAGATCTCAGTCCCGACCAGAGTGACCGTGGAAGAGGATGACGAAATGGTACTGCTTTTGGAAACAGTTTGCTCGCCAAAACCGGAATCCGACGTCGAAGCATTGTTTTCTTCATTTGATTCGGAATCTGAAATGGGGAAATGTGCTTCTAGATGGTTTTGTTGTACCGTGGGAATCGAATTTGAGAAGGCTGGAGTCGGTGTTAAACTTTATTACATGTGTGTTTTTTGTGATTCTGATGGAGCAAACTGGCGTACCTATAAGTATTGATGCTTTATACATGATTTGCTAAAATACGGAGATTGCTTGGCTAATGAGATGACGACTATATTCAAAGGTGGACTATTAGCTAGCAATATTATCATATTCATTGAATGAAAATTGCCCAATTTTCAAGCAACAACAAACATAGCGTAGCAATTTTTGCCCCAAGGAGACACACTGGGAATCATGATTCAACCGAGAAACTTAATTCGAAAATCTGTCGTACATCTGCAGAAGCAGAGAAGTAAGTTGGCATTTCGCACGCTGTAATGAATCATGCAGTGATTTTGGCATGGCAACTAGTGTTCGCTCTACAAAGAGAGAGAGAGGATAATGAAACTGGTGCTTGATGGGCGAAGCAGCGGAACCCGGTAGAATCAGAGCTATTAGGGGTACAATATTTATAGGTAGTGAAAATGGCTCTAACCCCGATTGAAATAGTGGTCATTTGGCATAAATGTGGAAAAATTATACCGATAAATAGTTTTATCACAGACAAACAGACGTAACTTTTTGAATAAATTGTCCCTAAATATATCGCCAAGGAACTCACCAGTGACATCTCGCGGAACAACGCTTGCTTGCCAAGACTCAAACAATGTTGCATACAAGTTAGATAGGATGTATATAAACGTTAAAGTGATCCGGGGTGGGAGGATATTTAAATTAAATTTTTACGTTAAATGCGTAAATTTTTTACGTTACATGCGTAAATTTTTTTACGTTAAATCAGTGGCGTTTCCTTAACCTCAATCTACCTGTGCACCAATTCACAAAACATAAACAATTATCAAAATATTGCTTGCAATGGATAGATATCGAGTAAACTAGAAGATTAAGTGTATTTTTTCAACCGATTCGAATATGAATATCACCGACAAATCGACATGAATGACAGAGCAAAAACAATAAAATTTCTGACCAAAGCACACTACTGACATCTGGATTGTATGACATTCCCCTGAAAGCCATTCCCCAGAATGCTATTTCCTAGAATGCTATTCCCTAGAATGTACCATTTCCCAGAAAAAAATCCCCAGAATGTACCATTCCCCAGAAAAGATGATGAAATTAGTAATTTTCACTTTTCTTTTTTTTACTATTGATAATGCACTATGTTTACTTTTTATGGAACTATGTATTTATCAATTCCAAACCATTTTTTAGCTCTTTATAAAATGACAACCTTCAAGTTTTCGACCACTTCGTTCATCATTTAATAAGTCAAAGGGTCTATTATGTTGAGGTTAAGAGAATTGTTAAAACGAGGACTCAGTAGAGGAAATAAGGCAACACGTGTGGACGCTACCCGAGCAAAGTCGGTTAACAAAATGAAAGCAAATCGATATTAAAGTTTGCAGTTCCTATCATAATGAATACTCATTTTGATTACAATTGTCACGACATTAGTCTGATATCATATTGTGCTTTCATTATGCAGTCAAGACATTTTAAATGAAAGCAACTTAACTTGAAGTTCTGCTGTTAACGTCTTGTTTAAACTTTAATTTAAGCTCATCTGTCGTTGAACTAACGATTATTGTTTATTTGTTTTGTTAAACACATTTTAGGTCATTCGTAGCCAGCCCGAGGTGACATTTGAGCTCAAGTCTTTCAGCGTGAGAAGCTTGGATGCTAACCATTTATGCCAGGCCCGTATTCAGTCAAACATCATGAATGCAAAATCAGTAATCAAATTGATTTCATTGAAAGCAGGTTTAGTTTTCCGTTTGATTCAACAGTGTAAAATTTTGCTCTCATTTTTGATGTGTTAACCGTTAAGTCAACCAAAATGAGATCAAATAGAGTATTCAAAATAACTTACATCATAACAGCAAATTCTGATTTCAATTTGATCTCTAACTTTGCTCGGGTAGTACGCTACAGACAAGAGTGAATTTATTGGTGTTCTTTAACATTTGATATGACGTTAAGCAGTGTTGCCTGAAGGGCTTTCGTTCAGTCGTTGCAAGTCGAACCGGGTTCAACACTCCTCCTCAACGCTGAATGGCTTGAGGCCGATCGCCTCCCGTAGTCGTCGCAGTTTCACAGCTTGTAACGGCTTCGTCAGCAAATCAGCTTCCATGTGCTCGGTCGGGCAATATGTCAGTTGTACGATGCCGTCTCGAACCATATCTTTGACGAAGTTGTATTTCGTGTCGATGTGTTTCGCCTTGCGTTCAGCTCGGTCTCCTCGAGTCAATGCAATGCAACTCTGGTTGTCCTCATTCACCAGAATCGGGAGAACTAGGTGCTCACCAACGTCGAACATTAACTTCTGGATCCATTTTATCTCTTGCAGACATTCCGCAAGCGCCACATATTCAGCCTCGGTGCTAGATAAGGCCACGCACTTCTGCTTATGACAGCCCCATCCGATGAGTCCACCGCCGAACTTAAACAAGTACCCAGAGTTTGATTTGCGGTCACTGGCATCGCCTGCCCAGTCAGCGTCCACAAAACACTCAAGCTTCTGTTCATCACCCCTTAGGTACAATACCGTATCCAGCGTACCTTTGAGGTAACGTAGTATTCGCTTGGCCTCATTCCAATCCGCCTCAGATGGTTCCTTCACTCTTCTCCCCAGTATTGATGTGGCAATTGAAACATCTGGTCTGGTGGTAACGGTGACGTATAACAAAGCCCCAATTAGACTTTGATATGCTTCCGGCGAATCCAATCTTCTACCATTCTCCTCCTTTTGTTTCAGGAAGCCGGGATCCATCGGGTATTTAGACGGCTTTGCATCTTGCATGCCGAATCGCTCCAGAACTCGTTCCAAATAGGCTTGCTGGTCAATACAGTACTGTCCATCATCAATGCGAACACGTATTCCGAGGAAAAATCGTAGGTTACCCATGACGCTTATCATGAAGTTCTGTTTCAGTCCTTGGACCACCTCAGCGAACTCCTCCTCAGTGTAACAGATAACAATGACATCGTCAACATAAATAAGCACAAAGACGCACTTACCCACCCTTTGGCGTATATAAAGACACTGGTCCGCCGTTGATTGGACAAAACCCATGTGTTTCAGCACCTCGTCGATCTTCGTGTTCCAGACACGGGCTGCCTGCTTAAGCCCGTAAATACTGCGTCTCAACCGGCAGACTTCATTCGGCTTACCACTCTCATACCCCGGAGGCTGGCGCATGAAGATCTCCTCCTGTAGCTGCCCATGAAGATACGCAGTCTTAATGTCCACATGTTTCGTCAACATCTTCCGCTTGCTTGCCACAATCAGCATCGTCCGGAACGTTATCTGCTTTACTACGGGAGCGAAAACCAGATCGTAATCTGTCCCATATTTTTGGCAGAAGCCCTGCGCCACCAGCCGCGCTTTGAATCGGATGAGATTGCCATCCTCATCTGCCTTACATTTATATATCCATTTTGATCCGATAGCTTTCCGCTCTGCTGGCAATTCCGCAAGCTCCCATGTTCCGTTTTCACGATGAGACTGCATTTCATCTTCCATCGCCGATTTCCACTCGGCACACTGCGGACCGGACACAGCTTCTTTATACGACCTTGGTTCAACGAAACTTTGCTTCACCGAATTCACTCCTTCAGAATACCTTATCGGTGGAACACCTGCCGTTGCCCTCTGTGAACGACGAGCGGGTGGAGGTGCGACTGGCTCCACATTCACACGCACCGGATCACTTACGTCATCATCGTTCCACAGTCCGCGAAGCCAGTCGTTGTCGTTATCGTGCCAAAACCCTCGTGGCCAGCCGTCATCTTCATCGTCCCAGCCATAGAAATCACCTTCGGAGTTTGTATCATCCACCTCGTGGGGTTGTTCTTCTTGTTTCGCCACTTTATCAAGAGTCCACTCGATTTCCTCGCTACGTTCCGAATTTTCCTCCAGCCTTTGATCAATGAGGAGTTGATCCTTGGATCCATCACCAAGCTCTAGAAAGCGGACATCCCGACTGATTTGGATTTCTCCCGTCCGTGTATTCAGCATCCTATACGCTTTATGCTCGGCCGAGTAACCAACGAATGTCATTTTCACAGCTTTGACGTCCAATTTCTTTCGTTTCGCTGACGGAATCAATACGTAGCCAACGCATCCGAATAATCGCAGGTAATTCAAATCTGGTTTTCTGCCAAACCAAATCTCGTATGGCGTACGACCGACGGTCGCAGATGGCAAACGGTTCTGCAGGTAGCAAGCGGTGTTTATTGCCTCAGCCCAAAATCGTTTGTGCATACCTGCATCCAAAAGCATACACCGGCTCATTTCACTTAACGACCGGTTCTTTCGCTCAGAAACCCCGTTCTGTTGAGGTGAGTATGCTGCGGTGTACTCCGCTTTTATCCCTTCCTTCGCGTAGAATTTTCGTAGAGCCTTGCTGGAATACTCTCCGCCCTGATCGGAGCGGATAATTCGCGGTTTGCGCCCAAGGCGATTTTCCACCAATCTTACGTACTCACGAATTCTATCCTCGACCTCCGATTTCTTTTTCAAAAAATATACGTAAGCATAACGGCTATGGTCGTCTATCAGGGTCATGTAATAGCGGCATCCTCCTGGAGTTGCCTCCTCCATTGGTCCGCAAACATCACTGTGGATTATATCCAGCACATTTGTCGACGTCTTCTCCGCAACATGCGGGAACGATGGCCGAGCCATTTTGCCTTCGATGCAGCATTCACAGGTCCACCGGATGCCGCAATCGACAACGTTAAGACCCGTCGCCAAATCGTGTCGTCGTATTTCGCCAAGAACGTCTGGATCCCTGTGTCCAAGGCGGCGGTGCCAGATATGTTGGCAGTTTTTCGTGTGATGCCGTGTCTCGGACTTCAACACTCGATCCTCCACGACTCGTAGCCAATACATATCGCTCACTTTAT